CATGTCTGGTAACGTGGAACCAACGTGTTTCATGAAGTTGACGATGTAACCACTGAAAAATTTCTTCGATTAGGAAACTGCGTATGATACGAGTGAGTGAATATTAACGTCGCCCTGTTCAGCTACACGAGGGCTTTTGGCGACGGACCTCGTAATTTTGAACCATGGTCAAGTGACGAGGATGACGCCTGAGCTGGCACTCCCTTCTCCTAACTACCACACCACACCAGCGGGAGGACGTTTGAGCTCTCGACAGATTTAACGTGCATCGCTGCCCTACACGGCGGGTCTTAAGTAGTACTGGGCTTGAACTCATGACATGCCTGCCATGATCCGATACCCTGAACACTGGGCTACCGCAGCCCTCTGAGCATGATACATTCGTAGTGCAGCTCTGCCGTTTGCATGTACGTACATGTAATGCATGTCTGCATTTTCAACATGCGTAAAGTCTCCCATCTTAGACGTCAGCACAAATGCGAATGTCGCTTTTCCCTGCTGAGATGCATCATGTTGAACGGCGGTTAGACATCTACTGCCCCCTACCGGCAACGCAACCAACCGATATAACTCCATTTCCCTTTTCTTTTATTTCCCATGTTTGCGTGTCACTTGCACCCATACATTCATATACAATAAATGATTGTTACACACAATATCCTATATCTACCCTTAAAGTTTGTACCATGAATTCGGGACCACCGTGTTTAAAATTAGATATAAGATTAATAAAACATTATTACAGTGAGCTATTTCAAAAATACTGACGTTCTTATAGGAATTGTTTCAACTCATGTGCAACAAGGTTTTATTACTAAAAATTTAATTTTTTTTAAAATTTTTAAATAAAGACGAACTTACAACAGTTTTTGTAGGAGGATCAAATTTTTCAACTCCAGCAAATTTCCTGAATTAAGTAAAGAAAAAGCCAACCACAAATTGCATTTCTTCTTCCTTTACTTTTTTAAAGGAATTTCTCTTTGAGTTAATCATTTATTATAAGACTCACTAAGTAAACGTCATGTGCTAGAATATATATATATAAAAATATATATAATACTTTTTTAAAGTTACAAAAGAGCAAATTATATTTTATAGAAAATGAACAAAAGTAGTACCGTAAGAATTTAATGGAATTTTTACCTTTTGCATAAAATAAAACTGTAAAATAAAGTTTGGAATAAAGTAAAAGGGGTAGAACTTCTTTTTCTGAATTCGTAAGATGTGAATTTTGTGCTACAAATAATATTAAAAAAATATTTAAAGTCAATTCCAACTTAGGTTAACAAAGAAAAATTTTATAATTTTAGTTACTTTTTACTAAATAATTACAATTAATATAAATATGTATGTACATATGACAAAATCACAATCTTAAGTGGCAAAATAGAAAGCGATTTTCCTTTCTATATAGGGTGTTAGACTATTATTTTTGTTTATTACTATTTATTCATTCATAAATCACATTCTCAGAAATTATGTCATCCCAGGTAGGATTCGAATTCACGACCTTTGGATTAAAAGCCCAACGGGCTATCCATTGCGATACAGGGATAAAACGAACGATTTTCCTTTCTATATATGATATTGGACTGTTAATTTTGTTTGTTACTATTTATTCATCAATTAATGAATTAATATTTAAAAAAGCTGTATTAACATCAAGTGTCATCCACTACAAGTTTAAAATATTTATTTGAACTTGAATGAAGGAATTAAAAGTATTTTATTAACGATTGAAAGTTTGAACAAGATATATATAGGGAGATTGTCAACTATTAGTAGGATTTAAAAAAATGAAGGAGAAAATTAGAATTCATACAAACGGGATTGAGCAAAATTAAATTAGTTTTGTTTTTACAATATTTGGCCCTGAGCGTTCGAGTTTTCGAAATTGCTTTTTAATTATTATAAAACAGCAAATATTTTATGAACCAAGAAAAACGAGAATATTTTTTGTTGTTATTGTTGATGATGATAATTAATATTGTTTTTTTTTTATTTTCACCCTATAAACATGTTTCCAAAATTTTAGTGTTTTTTAAATGCAATGTATTAGGTAATGAGGTTTTAGGAACTGAAAAAGTGGAGAGAAGGATTAAAAAAAAGGAGAGAAGGATTGTAACATTTAGGAACAAATTGAAAACTATTTTAAACATATAGCAATACAAATACACAAAAACAAAGTAAAATACCCAACCGTATTTAACTTTCATGACATGAATGATTATGAAAAATAGAGACTTGTACATAATACACATGCACATGTTAAAAAAAAAGTTTACCATTCCTGTATGTTGCACAAAGAAGGCAATAACTATTGAAAAAGAATTCACGAAAATATCACAAATAATCGGTGCATACCAAAGGAAAAATAATAGGGGGAAAAAACGACTTCAAATGTTTGTAAACTACTTGATAAATAGATTGATTGTGTGTGTTTTTTTTTACTGACGTTACACTTTAAAACCGGGGTGGGCGTAAAGTCGATCGCGATCGACTGGTGGACCACTAAGACATTTTGCGGTGACCACCCTCACTAAGACCTAATGATCATTTCATCATGCAAAAGTCCAGGAATATTTTAAAAATGCGGAGAAAAAAAATCGAACCTCAAGAAAAAAAGTTCCCCTAAATAGAAAATACGTTTCGCTATTTGGAAGCTATTTTGTGAAGAAAATCGTAAATTTTTCTTAGTTCTAGGAAAAAGTTCGCTAAATATAATAATTCGCAAAATAGAGGTTCTTAAAATGCAGGTTCGACTGTATGTAGACCTTCTTTTAGCACACTACACTTATGCCATTGGGGGAACCGCAACACCTTGAAAAAAATTAGTAGTAGGCCGTAATGTGGAAAAATCTGCCCACCCCTGCTTTAAAGCAATGCAAAGAATACTGAAACATCATTTAATTGTCATCCATGGTCGACACTCAAACTGGCACATAGAAGTCTTCCACACCACGCCATTAGGATTATTTTGATTATCGACAAATTTAACATTCATCAGCCCCTCTACATGGCGGGATTCTAGAGGCACTAGGACTCGAACCCACAACTCAACAGAAGCAACACTAGCCATGAATTTGTGACCATGGCTTTTCGGCCATTGCAACTAAAATAGATGCTACACAATGGACTCAATTCATGACGGTCACATGATAAAGACAAACACTGGTTCTCCATTAAATTCTAAACAGACATCAAACTAATTGTACTAGTTGTTCTATTTGCAAAACTTGGGTAAAATTTCAAATTTTATAGCATTTGAACATTTTTACCAATTATAAAAAATAAATTTCTTAAAAAGATTTTTAAAAAAATCTTATTTTATGCATGTACTTTAAAATAAAATGCATTTTGTTTACTTATATGTGTATTATTGTTGTTGACAAATTTGTATATTTTAAGAGAAAATTTCTGAAAAGATCAAAAGTTGTTTTAAAAATTTCTTTGATTTCAGCAGCACTTTAAGTCAACGTTGTAGTACTTAATTTCAGCAGTATTCCTCTACAAACAAATTAATCCTCAATAATCAAGCGAACAGGTTAAAAAGTTCTTTTTTTTTTAATACATTTCTTTTCAATCACCTAAAAACAAACAAAAAGAAATTTTTATTTTAAAAACAAAACTTTTTATCGCAATAAAACAATCCATACGTAATCAGGTCAGATCTCCACAAGACGTTATATTTTAAAATGTTTGATATTACACTGAATGAAAAATAAATACAATCGGAAAAGCATTCGTCATAGCGTTACTCAAAGTCTACACGAAATCTATCAGGAGGAGTTACGATCCAAAGCAAACGCCCCTTCCTTTGGTCCTTGTCAACTTTCCATTGACGCTGATGTAAACATCAAAGAGCCCCCCTGTCTCTTACCAAACGACTTTTTGTATGACGAATGAAAACGGGGCTACCCTCCCTTCCCACCGGATCCTCCACACTAATGATCCATCCGTTCACTCGGGGGAGTTGCCTCATTTCCGGCTGCACCCTTACCACCATGCGGCACCGATGTCCATCTCTGGCTCTCCGGGAGTCCCAGATTAAGGGGATGGAATTTGCTCCCACTTGATGATGAGTCCAGCAACAGCAAGAGTCCATCGGACGCGTCACGAGATGCTGTTTCGATTTCCGGAGGATATCTTTTCCCGTTTACGTCCCTCCTGCCCCCCGTTTGTCCAGAGATCCGTTTTATCGATGTTCTGTTTCAGAGAAATATTCTCGATTGCTGAGGGTGGGAAAGCGAAGCATTTCCTGAGGTGTCTCTCTCTCTGCTTATCGGTATTGTCGACGGACAGAGGAACACGGACCATAAGAAATTAGTTTTATCGTTCTTGTCTGGGCAAGGGAGGGGGATGGACTCGGTGATGTAATGGCCTTGATTTGTTAGAGGGGAAAAGATCTTATCCACAATAAGATCAAAGTGAAAAGTTAAGAGACCATAGCAAATCCAAGGGCAGACGATTTTGTTACGATAAATCGGCTGCTTAAAATTCTTAAAGCAGTTTCATGTTCAAGCTGTAACGCACAGCTGCTGCTGCATTTTGAAATTTAAACAAGTAAAATACATATATAAAAAAAAATTAAGTCAATTCCTACTTAGGTCAACAAGGAAGGTTTTTATTTTAGTTTCTTTTTATTAAATAATTATACAATTAATATAAATATGTAATCATATGACATATTGTTGTAATCATATGACATATATGACATTCTGTCATATGTAATACATATGACAGAATCACAATATTAAGTAGCAAAATAGAAAGTAATTTTCCACATTTTCCTTTCTAAAGATGGTGTTGAACAAAACATTTGATTGTTCCATTTATTCCCCATTTTTATCCAAACGTATCCATTTATTTATTGTTCCATTTATTGTTTGATTGTGTTCTATTATTTATTATTATTTATTTATTTAAATTTAATTAAATTTAATTTAATTATTCCAATAAAATAGTACAGTAAAAAGAAATCATATTCTCAGAAATTAGGCCATCTCAGGTGGGATTCGAACCCACGGCCTTCGGATTAGAAGTCCAATGAACGCGCTACAGGGACACAACGAGTAAATTTTCTTTCTATATATGGTGCTGGACTATAATTTTTGTGTGTGTTACTATTTATTCATTAATTAAATTAAATTAATGAATTAATATTTGTAAAAATCGTGTTAACATTAATTGTCATCCACTACAAGTTTAAAAAAATGTATTTGAACTTGAGTGAATGAATAAAAAATATTTTATTAACGATTATAAAAATATGAACAAGATATGTATAAATAAATATATATAGGGAGAGAGTGAACTAATTGTAGGAATTGAAAAACAAGCAAGATTTCGATTAATTCAAGTGATTTGTGATGCTATACAAATAAGCAATAATAGTTTATGGATACTGATTGCTTACAACTCAACTCTTACTCTATCACGTACATAATGACGAATGAAAACGAGGTCATCCTGCCTTCCCACCGGATCCTCTCCGTCCGTTAGGGGGACGGGGGATGCAGTTACAATATAAAATTGCAAAAATGCAGTTTTTTAGCAAATAATAAAGAAAGAATCACATATTTTTAAAACATTCTCCTTTTATGAAAAATGTTTCTGTAATAATAATATTTTACCTATATATAGCTAAAAGAATTCTGTACAGAACCTGATTTGGGATTTTTGAAAAGTATAAAAAATTTAGAAGTGAATTTATTCATATTATAATATACCAGAGAGAGAAATTTAAAATAAAAACTCCGTTCATTATTTTAATTGATTGTAATTCTGAAAGTTATGTGAATTTTGGAAGATTTTTAGTTCAGCATTTACTATATATAGACGAAATATTTTTATTATAGAAGCATTTTTCACGTAAAATGAGAATGTTTTGAAAATATGTAATTTTTTCTTCTTCTTTTGCCCAAAAATTGTATTAAATTTTTTTTTTCTTAAAATAATATTCTTAAAACAATTTTATATGTATGTGTTCTAATTGTACTGATACCAAATATCAAAACAATTATTCATTTTCACGCTTTTTCAAAATAACGGTTTTGAACGTTGTCAGTCACCTTAAGTGGTAACTGATATGTTTATAAACATATAAAATCAGAGTACCTGAATGATGTGGAAGTTAATATTAAACTTCAAAAACATAGGAACTAATTATAAATAAATAAATGAAAAAAATATTAATTTAAACAAACAAAAGAAGAATGCATAAAGATAATTAGGTAAGTTATTTACAAGCAATTTTTTCAAATGTCATTGAGATTTTAATTTTTAAAAAAGGAAATATACATAACTATAACTATATTCTCTGTATAGAGATATATAGATAATAGATTAAGTATTGCTTGATGATTGAAACAATAAATACAAAATTTACAATGA